AGGCTCGAGGCACTCCAAAGGTTCTCGTGAGCCGATTGTGCTTTTGCAAGGCTACAAGATCCTGGGCAAGCGGCTCAAGGTCGAGTTCAAGAAGGGAGAGGCCGCAGGAAGTCAGAGAGCTTTGAATTAACGGCACTGGGTGGTGCGGCTCCGTCAGGGCGACAACGGAAAGGGAGAGGCAGGAGATCTGCGGGTCCAGCAGTCTGACGCGAAATCCGATGTTCCCCTTTGAGTCTCTCCGACCAGGCAGAGAAGATCGACCTCATAGAGGCGATCAGCGGCTTTCTTGCCAGAAATGGCAGCTACTCGACATGGTAGCTCTGTTTGACTGCAGGAGAAGAGCAGTGGTGATGACGAACGGCTGATAGGCTATTTGAGGCGCGAACGCCGGCTCATGATCTGCCCCGCACTTCTTCGATGTGTGCAGAGCTGCAGGGCCATCTCAGCAAAGTCTGTGGTGCAGTCCCTGAAGGCTGGGGGGGATTTGTCAAATCAGTCAAAACGCCTCTGTTCATGGTTGTCAGTTCGCTGGAATGTGCTAAGCCCTGGCAGCATAAACGCAATTCCCAGAATCCTGTAAAGCTTTCAAGTATAGATGGACTCAGGGCCTAACCTTATCAGACTCCCGAAGCACTTGCGACACAGCGCAAACGGGAAGAAGACGAAAGCATGCTGTGCGAAGAGAAATGAGAAGCAAGGCTTCATTGGTTTCGCCTTTTCGCTTACCAGCATCAGGTGTCCCAGAGCTGTTTTGGCTGGTAGGAGTCGGAGAAGGCGGCCGAAGCCGAAGAAGGGCAGCCATTGCTGGGAACACAGAGGGCCCAACGGAGATGTTTCTCATGTGACGGCGAGCTTTCTGCAAGGGATGACTTCGGTTTGGGCCTGAGCCGCTTCGCCGGCGTCGATGATTCGTCAGGGTTCCTACGTTTGGGCTCTGCAGGTGACTAGCGGCTGCACTGCCGTGTGCACCCTGGAGCGGCCTGCAAAGCCCCACTGTCAGGCAAAAGAGTTCTTATCTCGGAGTAGCAGCCAATATCTGTGCAGTCTCTGCACGTCAGGCCGATGCAGGCTGCACCACAACGGTCAATGGCCAGATTTCACCTCATTCTATCCCCTATCTTGTTGAGCATCGGACCCGTCTGAACCAGATGCGCGTTGGACAAAAGCAGAAGCTGACTACAGTGGCACGCCGAAAGTCACGGCAGGAATTCTTCACTTTAAACGGATGGCATGCCGAACATGTTGCGGTTTCATCTGAGGCATCAGGCTTGGAATATTTGTGAAGTCATGCAAGCTTGAATGAAGTCAAATCAGACACTTTCCGCTCCCTCCCTTCTTCGCGCATACCACCTGAGCCTGTCTAACTCTCCATGTCATCGGAGCAAAAGCGTTTAGTACCATTCTCTCGCACGCCCGCGCAGCCGTCGGTCTAGCGAACCGTTTTGTTGCCGGGTACGTCAGTTTGTACATGGCTTGTCGACAACAGTTCGTCAGACTCTGTTTATATGGAACTGCACTTGACAGTCAAGTGGAACTCTCTGCAGACTTTCTTTATGGCTGACTCATTTCTGTTGTTTCTGGCTGGAGGTTGTATGTACGTGTTCAGGCCGCAGTGGAAGACGCGACAGTCCCCGGTGCAGCAACATGATCACAAGGATAGCTGTAGGAGTAGAACAGACAAAGACACCCACGGCAGCATCGCCAGCGGGGTCGTGCGCGAGCAGGTCCGCTTTGCCTGGAGTTGCTAGGTGAGATTGCCGGGCTTCTGATCTGGGTATCATGGCAAGGCCTTGACAGCTGCACATTCAGGTCGTGCACTCGCCGGTTGCTTGCAAACCTTTCAGACATCCAGCCCTCCTTAGCTTGCATATCCAGGAGATATGGTGCCAAGACCGAAAGGTCAAAGACGGAAAGGAAGCCGACGCATGTTCATACCCTCGCGTGGTTTGTTATGAGCAAAGAGTCGTGAGGCAACGTTCAACTAGTTTGGTGAAGGAGCTCGTCCTCGAGACGGCAAAGCTCAAAATGCGCGACTGCCACAGGACACAAAGGGACTCGCAGTTTGCCCAGCCAGGCCAATCACGCCCGCAAAGCAGCTCATCATGCCGTGGCTTTGGCAGGAGTGCAAGTCGGCAGCGCTGGACATTCTGAGGCAGTCGGCCGTGGCGTGGGTCCAAGCCGAAAAAGTCGGCAGGTGTGTAAGGGCGCTGTGAATGCTCGCGTCGTGCTGCAAGGATGCGAGCGTGTGGAGGCAAATCCTGGCTTCGCCTTCGGTGGCACAGTTCGCTCGCAGGCCGGGCCAGGGGCTGTTGGGGGTGGAATGAAAGGTTCCTGGCGTTGTCACTGCCGGTTCGGCCATGCCCCACATCAGTGACAGAATCTAGAAGCCGATGTGAAGCTGCCCCCTGCAGGTCTCTGACCGGGAAGGCCTCCCGGGATCCCACCTTTGCACGCGAGCTCCTTTTGGCGGTGCTCACAGGCCAAGGCCGTAGACTCCGTAGACTCCGTAGACTCCGTAGACTCCGTAGACTCCGTAGACTGGAACCGACCGCCTGAGACCTGAGACTGTTCAGGGCATCCACCTGCGGACGTTCAGACACAGGACCAAGCGGGGAACCCAAAAGGCAGAGCAGGCTGGGCAAGTCTAAGCGATCGAGACCAAAGACAACACAAAGATGCATGTCCGCATTGCTGATGGGATGATTGGGATGAGCGGACTTGGAGTTGCTGGGCCTGCCACTGAGGCGGTCTCTCCTGCAGGGACTGCACTGACTGCAGATCACCCGACACGTCGAAGGCAGTTCCGAAAGTGATTCGTTTTAACATGTTGTTGAAGCAAAGAGAGGCGCCTGTGCTTCAAGCAGGGCGAGGCAGGAAGTGACTTAGAGCCGGCCTCGCCTACGTAAGATACTCCGGAAGCCTAGGCTTTAGACTTTAGAGAGCCGTGTTATCGAATCTGCCGGCTGTGACGCAGTGAAACTTGGTTTTCGAGTTTTTGAACGCTCACTATCCTTGCCTGTTTTGTCTCAGTCGCTCTTCCCATCATTCCCATCATTACTTTTCCCCTCTCCGTGTCTCGCTCTCTGCTGGCTCTGCCTGCAGGCGAGGCGCGGCGAAATGCGCCTGGCTGACACGGGAACCTGCAAGGAGTGGGAGCGTCGCTTGCGATGAGCAGCAAGTTGCGTCGCACCCTTCCGGGCTCCCGGGCTCAGGGCGAGCACTTCAGAATCGCCCCGTCCTTGCGGCTCGAAGCCGTCTGCGCTGATGTAGAGTTGTCTCTTGGCTTTGGCGAGGTTGCTAGTCCCCTGGTGGAGATGGAAGATGCAGAGTACTCCTCGTCCTCATCTTGGCGACCAGCCCGGAGGTTCGCGATGAAGTGCAGCGTGGCTGTTTGTGCCGGCAGGGAGGCATTTTGCCATTGCAGGCGCCTTCTGTTTAAGCAAAACCCCGTTATCTTCTCTCCGAGCTGCGCTGGTTGCTTAGTGTGCTCTGTGCCTTCTGCGCGGTGCAAGAGATTGTCGCAAGGCTTTTGGCCCGCTGAACATGGACTTGGCTGCACTTGTATTCAGCTTCGTAGAGGTTCCAACCAAGGTGCAAGCACTCACGCTTCGTTGCTTGCAGCCCGCTGCCCGCATCATTTACGTCTGTGACAGGTAACTGCCGCCTGCGGCGTTTCATGCGGGCTTCGGGAGGCTTTCTTATGTTCAGCCGAATCGTGATGTACAGGTTGTCTGCAATGTTGCCAGGTCTTTCAGCGCCGCAGTGCTTGGGACCCGCAGCCGATCATGTGACTGCACTTGACTGCCCAGCTCCCCACACCCTCTGTTACTAGAGGCTCCTGCAAATCGAATGCTAAACAGCGAGCGAGGTCCTAGTCGCCCAGGTTGATTGCAAAGATTACCCAACAAAGCCAAATGCCACAGTCTGTGGCGACCGAATGTCATCGACAGATACAGTGTGGTCAAGATTCAGGTGTTCGTACACGTGGGATCGGCTCCAACTCTGGCCTAGATAGAATCGAACTATGCAAATCAATCAGCACGCTCTTTGTTCCAGACGCTTCTGGCAACTCGTTCTGCGAATTTGCGAACTGGTGGCTCTTCAGGCGTCTCTTGAACTCCAGAAAGGCTGCCCTCGGGCATTCTCGAAGAAAAAGCGTGCATCGGCAGCATGTAGAACTCAGCTCCCAGCCTCCTCCAAAGCCTGTGGCGAAAATCTCCTGCTTCCGGCTTAGCTCATAGATTACTCGTGTGCCAGCCTGACTCTTCACCCCTCTTCTGCCCAGTCCTGCGCAATCCTGCTAAGACAGTGCTAAGACGATGCCGCAGTCCCGTTAACCACTTGACGTAAACAGCTGTCGACAAGAAGAGCTTGCTTGATCTTGTTTGGTGTTGAAAAACAACATGCCTTCCCGCACCAACACGAGCAACCCGCTGCTTCAACAGCCAAGAAAAGCACCCCCCCCCTCGCCCGCACCAACAGCAAAAACAGCACCAACAGCAGAAAACGACACTCTTACACCCGAAGTTGGAGAGCATCATCAATCTAGATGGTTAGCTGCCGGACAAAGACAGCGTCACGCTGAAGATTGGCCGGCCTTTGATTGGTGTCTTGTGCAACTTCACGCGAAGTGTGAAACTACCGGTTCACTGGAATTGAGCACGGGCATGATGAATTTTCCGTCCCTGTCAGAAATGATCCGAACTCAGGGCTTGTGCATCTTCAATTCCTCCGGACATATACTTGTCGTACGTGGGAAGTAGTCACCCAAGACCGAGAGGATTCCGCTCCCCAAGGTTGTTTATCTGCATCAACAAGAACATGCGAGGCATGTCTGCGGAGCCAAGTTCGAGCGGCAGGATCTATGATATCATGACGCCGACTGTAGTCTAATGAGACAGCTTTCCGTGCGGGGCAACCTGCAGTAGGAATGAACTGCCACACCTCAGTTCATAGGCCATGGCATTGCAGTGCTCTGGGCTGCATGAGAAACCAGGCATGTATGCTTTCACGTGTGCAGGGGCCTCAAAATCGATGGACCGGGGAAACCCTAGCTAGTCTAAAGCAGGACAATGGTGAGTTGAAAGTATCATCCTCTTTCATCGTTCCAGCCTTGGCGATGTCCAGACCCGCGGGCCGCACAGTTTCGAACGATTATCACTTGGAACCTTTGCCCTTGCCTTTGCCACTGCGTCAGATGAACCTGTGTCCATCTGCTTTGTTGAGGCCCTAGGCTTTGCCGATCCGTTTCTTGCCCCTTTTTTGTGCTGGACACCCTCGATGCGTATCTGATATCCACTCATTGTACTCGGCTTCGGCGTGTGATGCGAGGCAATGACGTCCTTTTTGCTCACGCCGTGCACTTCTTGGCTAGCTGCGGGTGATGTTTGGACAAGAGGCCAAGGCTCCATCCTTCAACAGCATAGACTGTCGATTCGCCGAGCTGAACAGCTCCTGCTCTGCAGTGCACTTCATCACAGCAGTAGAGTCCAGCTTGTTGACATCGACGAGCCTTTCTTTAGTCAGCCTCAGCCTTCAGAAGTTCGTCGCGTTGTTCTTGTTTGTGTGCTCTCTCTTTCTCATTCCCCTCCGTTCTCAAAGCAAGATTTGCAAACATAGAGGTGCGACCATCTTCTGAAAACTACACTGGCATCTTTTAGGAGCCATGGAGTAAGACGCCGTTTCGTCACATGCACGTCACCTGGAAAGCATGCTACAGTATCGCCGGTACGCCACTGCGAAGTTGCGGCATCACTGAGGAAGCCTCTCTCGTAACACGCAATCATAAACCGAACAAGTCGACCTCAGGCTGACTGTGCTTGTGTAGGTCACGGGCGGCTGGGAGATCACCATATTTTCTGTGCGTAGAGTTTTGCGTTTTCTATGAGTAGTAGAGCAGCAACTTGGTCTTGCAATGCTTCGCCCACTGCACCAAGACTCCACGAAGACCTGACTGAACCGAAGCCAATGCATCATCGAGCTTCCACCTCGCTCTTGAGACTTTGGTGAGCAAGTGCGAGCTGCAGAACCTGGCGGGGGGTTCAGCGACGAAGGCTGCCCAGTATGAAGCATCTGTAGGGCACTTCGAAACTGATTTGCCGGAATCATTCATGGGCCGCACTGTGCATCAGCACACGTGCTGAGGCTCCAAAGTCTAGCCCAACCATAAGCAGTGCAAGCTTGTTGTCAGAGGCTTCTAGCTGTCCCCGTTCGCCAACGGTCTCTGAGGCTGTCTTGAGGCGTCTCTTGAACTGTAGACAAGCTGCACGACATGACTGCATTCTCCAAGTACGCGTGCATCGAGCGAGCATGCTTCATCGAGATCGACAGCTGCAATGGTGTCTTGATGTAGCAAAGGCTTTGCTAGCTTTTGCATGGTTCTCTTGCCACGTGATGGACACTGCCTGATGGACTTATAGGACCCACTCAAGCTTGACAAAGCGCAGCGCTCAGCCGAAGCAGCTTTCAAAGAGGGCATCAGAGAGTGTTCGTGCTGTTGCAGCCACAGGATACCGGTCGCAAGTTGCTACGGAAGCTCAAAGTGAAGGACCCACTAGGCCGATAGCTTGGAGAGCTCACTGACGGAGAACTGCCGTGGAACGCTGTTGTTGAAATGCAGGCTATTTCTTGGAGGAGGGTCACCGGACCAAGCGTTACTTTCCAAGCGGTTTCTTCGATGTCCAACATGTAGAGATTGTCTTGGTCTCAGCTCCGATTAGGAGTCGGGCTGTGAGAGCAGAGGCTTTCCATTAAATATGCGTTGGAAGGTGCTTATGGACCCAGAGCGAGTTGAGCATGTGCAAAGTGACACGGAGGAGGGTCTGGGCTTGAAACAGTTCTTCGTACCGTTGTCGTTCTTTCCGTCCTTACGTGCCTCCTCTCGCTCTCTCTCCTTCTCGCTTGCTTGATATTCAGCTCGCGCCTGGTGAAAAATGTGCTGCTTCGTATGACATTTGCATTCTGCGATTCTTGAAACGGAATGATCTCCCAATTCTTTGGAGCCGTGGGTTTCTTGATGCCTACAGATCACCAATCCGGTAAAGCAGACATTCAGATCGTTTGTGGAGCTTTGAATTGGTTTGGTTATCAGATAGTCTTTTCAAGATGACAAAGAAGTTGTTTGTTTCTGCAATCTTCAAGACTAGCCAGTAAGTGACTAGTGCATCGAACCTCAACAGACAATTGGAGGAGGTTTCGTTTCTCTCTTTTTATCAACAGATTTGAACTAGAGAGTTCCTTGCTTGCTGTCACAGCTTTGAGAGCTCCATTCGTCTTGTTTTTGGAGATGCACTAGCTGCGTGTTGGATGCAAAGAACTGGGGAGCTCTCTTATCAGATAGATCCAGTGATCATCGAGTTCTTCTGCTTTTACTAAAATGAAAGTGGGAATTTCGCCTTTCTCGAAGGCATGAGCGCTGCTACGGCATTTGCTGTTACGAGCGGTATGGTTTTTCTAAACTAGCTGAAAGCGTTCTTTTCTTACATGCTAACAGACCCTTGTACAATGAGGCCGTTTAGCAGGTTCATTCCCAACCAATGCTAACAGTCTACTGGCACTTGTCGAGTTGGTTTCACCCATGCGACTTCACACGGAAACTGGTGAGGGCCCTTCACAGTGAGTGTCTCTTTGCATGAGTTTTGTAGTCGGTGTTTTAAGCTAATGTTCACTACACAGAACTGTCCTGCTTTGTCATTGTCATTCGTGACGGGGGCTTTTTACCTGCTTGGCCATTCGTGGCGAGGTGATGCTCTGTTGTAGATGGTGGCTCACCGGAAATGTGCATACTTGTAGCACAGCTTCGGCCGGACAAATGGCAATGGTCTGTTTCCCATAGCGGTCGCCTAGCGTCACTTACTCGATGCTGCGCTGTGAATGAATGAAAAATAACTTCACACGGAAGTGGGTTTCTGTCTGGTAACTGAGTAAACCAAGCAATTCTAACTCTAACATGGAATGCATCTGCGTGCGAGAGACGGTTCAATTTGCTTGAATACAACAGCCTCGAAAATCAACTAAACTCCAATGCCTGCAGGATATTGCGGCACAAAGATGTGCTTGTGTAGGGACTTGGATTAACTCCTATCAGTCACGGAAATTAAGGGATTGGGATGGTCCAGCTGGCGGGGTCTTACCATTCCAGTCTCCGCTAACCGCCATGACGGGAAGCCCCCTGTCTATGAGCCTCTCCGAGTCGCATTGTTTTGGCACTTGGTGTCAAGTTAGGGCCAAGGGATGTTTAGGATCGAAGGATTTTAGGGTTTAGGGTAAGTTCGGGTGGAAAATTTTAGGGTTTTAGGTCTAGGGTCTTGGGTCTATGATTGAGGGTTGAAAGAAACGCTATCCGAATAGAGTGGCGGCGAAGCACCCGAAAGACATGTTCCCGCATTCCAACCCGTATTCAAACTCGTATCCAAACCCGTACTTTCCCTGGGTTCTGGGCCTAAACTGAAACACTCCAACCCGGATTGCGAGCCGTATTCGGACCCGTACTCAAACCCGTTTACCGCATTCAAACCCGTATTCAAACCCGTATCCAAACCCGTGGTTTCCTTGGGTTTTGGACCAGTTTAACACTCCAACCCGGATTGCGAGCCGTATACGGACCCGTATTCAAACCCGTTTACCGCATTCCAACCCGTATTCAAACCCGTATCCAAACCCGTACCGTCCATCCGTTTTGGGCCTAAACTGAAACATTCCAACCCGGATTGCGACCCGTGTTCGGACCCGCATTCAAACCCGTTTGCCGCATTCCAACCCGTATGCAAAACCGTATCCAAACCCGTACTTTCCCTGGGCACCAGGCCACGCCGGAAGTAGAGCGACCCGCAACCCCGAGTGCTGTCAAATTCAATCGTAGTTGTACCCGTATCTCGTTTCTCGACCTGTGTTCTCAACGTTATTCAAAGCCGTAGTCAAACATGTATTCAAAACCATATTGAAACCCGTATTCAAGCCGTATTCCGTCCAGCCCAATTCGTATTCCCAACCGTATTCTCCAGTGTATTCGAACCGTATTGGGAACCGTATTCGTTTTCCCGATTCGTATTCAAATCTTATCTGAACCCATATCGGGAAATAGTCCTGGAATCGGACGCGTGGCTGACATAGGAACTCTTTGCCCTACATGGGGTGGGCCGAATAGCCCATCCTGTCAGGGGTATGTATGAGACTTTCTGGCAAGATCTGGCAAGCAACCGTCTTCCCACAACTTCCAAACCCTATGATGAAGGAATGTTCGTGCGAAGGATTTCGTTCCTGCGTAGGAGAATGCTAACATACCCCACACAGACAGTTTATAAACAATAACCTATACACCTTTGCTGTCGGCAACAAAACTTGGGTATATCAACCGAGCAAACTCATAGAAGCCACGAGCCCAATGACGGCAGGTGTCAGATCCTGACGACTTTCTCCTGCAACTTCTCTAGAGAGGGGATTGGCGACAGGCCGCTACCAAGACAAGACCACACGGCACTAAGCGACAATTAGGAGCACAGAAAGTACAGACACAAGAACGTTGCACGATGCACGGCATGAAATGCAGACAGCCTTGACAGCCATGCCCCAGTCTGGAGGTTCATGGACCGTACGTTGCTCCTGGTAGGAGGCTCTCTCCCGTACCTTGCGCCGGCTTCCATGGTGGTCCGGTTTGTTGAACTATTGATTACTCATTCTCTTCGGTAGCTGAGGCCTGAGTGCGTGGATGTGCTTCAACGACAGCAACCTCCAATCACGGAAAAGGTGCCTCCATTGCGTGAACAATCAAGCAAGCTCGAATTTGCGATGTTCAGGTGGATGCTTGGGCACTTGGTTGCCTTTTGACAGAGATCTGGACTGCTAGCCGGCCCCACTCTGGTGCTACTGGCCCTGAGCAGTTCTTTAAGGCCTCGCAGCATTCGACATTTAGTTTGTACTGTGCGGAGATCCGCTTCGTCCACAATCTTTTTTAGTCATTTTAGTAACTTAGTAGTCTTTAGAATGGCAGGCGCCAAGCATG